ATGAAGATGACAATGGTGCTCCCCAGGATAAGTCTCAAAGACTTTTTTAAGGAAAGTGATTGACAAAGAGAGCAATCTTGGGAAAAAAAAAGAGCCTATAGAGAAAAATAATTTTTTTTAGATGCAAAGGAGGCAGAGAAGGGTCACTAATGGAATACACAGCTTTTCATCTCAATATCAATACTTCATATATAGCTGAGGTTGTCAGTGATCAGAAGTGATTAGTCTACAAATGCTGGTAGGCTAAAAAACATCTAAGAGGCAGAGATTATTAACAGCAGCATCAGAGATGGAAAAGAGGTAAAATAGGGTTAAATTAATATTAGCTTTCAAAGTAACATGAAAACACATCTCAAGACAGAATACAGTTACCCATCTTCAGGGCAAGGTGGACTAGTGACCTTATAGCTATTTTCTACAAGATGTTTTCAGATGTGTAACAGGTCCACTGCTGCAATTAGGACAAATGAAAATTTTTCCTAGACTAACTTTTAAGATTGCTACTGGTCTTTCAAATATTCATCAAAACTCCTCTATCACTTGGTTCATAAAAATTAATCATGTATGTTTTCGAGGTTCAGAATGGCCACCAAAGTTCATTATAAAGTTCTTTTTAATTAAAATGTTATTGTTAAGCTCAATATTTAAAAATAATTACTAAATTTGCTATTTTAAGGCATCTCAAGTGATGCTACTTCTGAATGACTGTAACACTAGCCTGTGCATCCTGTACCACCATCAGCACCATTGGTTTTGCTGTTTACCATCTTCTCACAAGTTTCATGTAGCCTCTTCAGTTTCATGTAGCCTCTATCATCCTATCTAGTAACTCATACATTGGATTCTGACACTGCCCAGGCTTTCAGGACACTACTGCAGAACAAATCACCATCATGGTCAATATCTGGAGAGCTGTGACATTGCTAGATGTGAACCTGGCTCAGTGACTACATTAGCCCCATCAATACACATCCAATGGCCATGTGAGCAGCTGTGTGATGTAGCAGCAGTCACTTCAGAAGAATCATTGACTGACTTACTGCATAGACACAGAACTGACAATTAAATGAACTAACAGCTTCAATTCACTTGCTCTGATCAATTCAAGCCACAATGCAGTCATGTGGGGAAAAGTTAGGAGCAGCATGACCAAGCCTGAATCACAGCTCCAATTTTGTGACACAAGGTCTCCCAACAGAGAGTTTTTCTGTCAAGGGCAAATAAGGCATCTTAAAAATCATTTTCCATGATTAATCATAAAGGTGCTCTTTCAGACACAAGGAAAAAGATTTTGGCCAAGAAAAGTATGCAGCAATTAGATGGAGCAGCTTCTGAGTGGGCTGCAGATCTTGTTTGCTCTGAGCAGGGAAATCTCCTGCATCTCAAATGGACTCTACTGAGTACTTGTGTATAACCCATACCTGGGTCTAATTCTTTGCTGTCTCACAGATTTAAATCTGTGCAAAGACTGTGAAACATGGTCACTCTGAGCAGACTTTAACAGCCACTTTGCAGCCCACAGAGCAGGACAGTGGAAAGTTGATCCCCAAAGCCAGCACTGCAGCCATTATATGCAGTAAAACTTATATTTACAGTATATTTTTCCATGTTCCTCCTAATCCACTTCTTTCCCTTCATCCTGGATACAGGAATGGTTTATTTACTTTTCATATCCCTATCCTGTACTAAGAAGGTACAGCACTCTTTAAAATTGAGAAAACACTAAGTCACAATGAAGTGGTTTTGTGAAACTCATCCAAGTTCTTGAGTACAATTGACGTGGTTTCCTTTTAACATAGATGTGGCAGAGTTGAATAGACTCCCTGGAGACTCCACAGTTATTTTCAGTAGTGACAAGAACCCATCCCAAACATAACTTCCAATCTGTCATCCCTCCTTGAATACTAAATAGAGCCTCTTCCTCTTATAATGTACTTATAACCAACTCTGTAAAACAAAAACACCTCCTGCACTCTGATACCACCTGAATTACTTTCTTAGATGTGTACCCCAATGCCACAATTGCTCGTATCATTAGATGTAAATCAAGCCAGGATTGTGCACTGCCTTTTCTCCAACCCTACCAGCATGGGAAGTTCCACTGGGAAATACACATTTGTGCCAAGGGTAGCACACAGCACCTTGGAATTTAAAAGAACCACTAAGGAGGAGAGGATGTATCAGAGGGCAACAGAGATTTAATGCAAACTAGAAAGTTTTGGGAGTCCCCTCCAAAAAAATCAATTTTTAAAATAAAGTGTCAACTCAGAGGTAGTTCTATGTAACAGCATAATTCAATAGCAACAACACTTTCTTTTTTGGCCAGCGACTCATATTTTTACAGGCAAGTAATTAAGAGAATTTCCCACCACTGGTCTTTTAAACCATTTGTATAGATATAGAATCTCTTCATTTTTGGCAAAGTGGCAAAGCTGTGGTTATTATGGATGCAGTAACTTTGATTTTGTGACAGTAACTGTTTGCACATATTCTCACTAGAGTCTTAACTACAACAATAAAGTTTGGAGACTGTTTTCATGGTGTTCTTACTACTTTTTGCAGGACTGCAAGATTATTCTAAAGAAAAGAAAACAATTAAGATGTATTGTTTGGTTGTGATCACTCATTCAAACAAACACATCATTTACAGAATATATTTGCATTTCTCCTGCTTCAAGTTTAAGTAAGAGTGTTCCCCCTCTTTCCAACAATTTGCATGCAAAGTCTGAAAAATTTCTCTTCTACTAGGAAAAAAATCCTACCCACTAGACCCCTTTTAATGTCTTTTCAAAAGGAGATGGGTCTCAGGATAAAACATAAGACATGAAAGGCCCGAAGACTGCATACAATTCTGTTGTGAAACACGAGACATGATGCTCTGACAGCACAGACAGACTTTAAGCATTACTATACGTCTGCAACACAACCTGTCTTCAGTCCCGCAGCACAGCTGCAGTCCCAGGGGGTGGTTTCCCCCAAGCCCATAACGCCAGGCTGGTTACTGGCTCTGACATCCCTGGCACCAGCCCTTGCACAATTCCACATGTCTCAGCCCCTCATCCGAGTGCATGTGTCCCACTGCCGGGGGCTGAGCAGCCGCAGTACTCAGCATAGAGACACCACAATGGCAGCACGCACCTGAAATGCAAAAGAGGATTTGAAGGATAACTTACCCTGACAGGTAACAGGGCCAATTAAAACCAGTGACACAATGCATGTGCAGCTATTCAGAAATCATGGCAAAGGAAGAGGACTGCAGTGCCCTCCTGCTATCTCTGCTCAGAAGAGAATTTCTACCAACTTTGTTGGGCATTGTATCAGTCAAAAAGTAGCAAAGACACGGTATTTTTTTGTTTTAAAATATTTCTCAGTTCCATGGCACGTGCATTCAAAAGATAACAATTTCAGTTTCCTATTACTATGAATGCATTAAGCATAGCATCAAAAGTATTCCTGAAACCATTTTGTTTATCTTGTGGCATTGAATTTGATATGACTAGAAACGATTCATAATTTGTTAAAAAAATTTTTAAGCCAAATATTTTTATCATGGAAGCTTACATAAGCGCTCATGCCCATGCACTGGAAAAATAGGAATATCATATTCTATTTGGCATGATAATTGATAGTAAAACATTGTAGGACAGGTTGTCAGAACAATTGAGAGTGGTACTGAATGGTTTATTATTAAATTTCATCATATTGTTTAAGACAGCAAGTACACGATCTCTTTCTGCTTTTTAAATTATTTATATGGACTTAGCTGTCCTCTGTTAAATAATGTCATACAACCACTGACCCAAAAAAACCCAATTGATTAGTTGAACAACGTAGAAAGATTTATCATCTCTATGCAGCACTGCAGCCTTCTTGCAGTTTGTGCACCTAAAGTGCCATTCAGAAAAATGGTCTCCAAAGGAAATTAATTGGAATTACTTTAGCTGTTTCATTCTAGGATTACAGTCTAATACCACATTTTGACCAAAAACCAGTCCTGATCTCTTTCTATTCCTATTGCTCAGTGGGGGTAGACAGGAGGTACAGGAGGATGGATACTTTATTTTGCATACAGTATTGACTTCTCCGCTTACAGTTTACCATCAGTTTGACCTCAATGGGAGTAGTGACCCAAAAGAAGACATGATTTAGTGTGTGACCAGTTCAAGAGACTGTTCATTCTCTGACTACTAAAGAATATTAAGAGGCAACTTTTGCAAACCCCAATTGGTATAAGCTTTGTTACAAACTGCTGAAAGGTGTACATAGCCAGTGTTCACACTACCAGCCATTTATTAGTGTTCATCCTACCTCCTACAGTCTTCACATGTCCTCCTAAGAGAGGATGCAACAGCTCAATGCAACAGTTTCTCCTGCACATTCAAAAGCTACAACATCAAGAATCAAAAGAGTTCTCTCTCATATTCTGTGCTGAAGGAATTGTTAATTTTTTAATTATGGCACACAACCCACTGCTGACACCAAAAGCAACATTCCAAAAACCAAGACTGGGTAACAGATTTTGTTCAACGCCTTTAGGCCTTTGAATGACAAGATGTCACAAGCAGCCACAGAATCAGTCACAGAGTGGTTGAGATTGGAAGGGACCTCTGGGGGTCATCTGAACACACCTTGTTCAAGCAGGGTTACCTGAAGCAAGTTGCCCAGGACCATGTCTAGATGGCTTTGGAGTATTTCCAAGGATGAAGACTTCACAGCCTCCCTGGGCAACCTGCGACACTGTTTGACCACACTTACCATGAAAAAGTGTTTCCTGATGTTCAGATAGCACCTCCTGTGTTCCAGTTTGTGCCTGTTTGGGCCTATAGCCTGATGGAAAGATAACAGGGAACAACCAGTTGGAGTACCAGGCAGAGTAGGAAGACAAGACGGCTTTAGTACATGAGAAGACAGAAACTACTTTCTATGCACAATTATAGGCTACATACACAAAAGAGCCAGTTTTTCACTCCTCTAGTGGTCCTGTTATAGGGTTTGTGATACACCCTTCATTCTCTTCCATCCTTATCAGAAGATCAGCCTCAATCTCTGTGGTGACGGACACATAAATAAATTACAGTGAAACTTCTGCAAACTGTCATCTGGAAAGGGTCAAAAAGTCTAATTTTCTTTATTACAGAAGCTTTGGGCAGGAGTTTGAATCTTTGTTTTGTTTTGGGGTTTTTTTGGGGTAAAATATCAGTTCAATGTTTTTGAAAAATTTTGCCTTTTTTGTGGGCATATCATCAAAGCCTATTAGTGTAATACTTGCTATCATTCATTTACTGGAGAAAAATCATTAAACACATGTCACTTCAAAAGTGTGTGACCTAATACGAAATTGAAATGACCTTTATTTTGGCACACTACTGCACTGAGTTAGAGCATTATGAAGTCCCAAGCATTCCCTGTTTACAAATGCCAGTCAGGCTACTACTGCTGCTCTAATGTGCTCAGAGATTGTGCAGCCTATGACCAACTGTAACTAATTGCAAATAGTGAATTAGCTGTGGGGGTAGATCCACAGTTTCCCCGGGGGAAAAGCCACTATTTTGAGACAATGGTTTAATTTATGTTGGAAATTTGACCAAACAGAAGTGGAAACTTTGACCAAGTACTCACTTTTGTCAGATGCTGTTTCAGTGTTTGGCCTCCTGTCTTGCAATACATAAACTTGCATCTTGGGTCTAGGGTATTTCTTTGCATCCATATGGTTCTCACACCAAGTCTGTAAGAGTGACAGATGAATGAGTCACAGTCATGTTTAACTTCAAGCACAAAGGTGTCTAATTCTTAGTCTTAAAAATGCACATGACTGCATCATAAAAATCCACAGGCTGCAACTCAGATCTTCAAAGCACTGCCATGGAGTGCACAGATGTGTATGTCAACCCTCTTGCACCCACCGTGCCATTCTCAGGACTCAGGATAGTCAAACAAGAGTCAGATTTCCACTCATTTCCTGAGGTTGTTCAACAGCTTTGGACAGCATCTGATGGATGCTGTGGATCACTAAGATTCTGTCCCCTGGACCTTTTAACACACATTCAGCCGTCCCCCTCTCACATCAGGGGACTCCTCCTGAAGAGGTGCAGCGCTACCAGACAAAGACATGACTGATTCTCATATCTGTTCCAACAAGAAGCGTCATGGCTATAGCAAATGCAGCATTTCAATGTGTCCAACTGGGGTCCTTCTCCTGAGGCCTAACAACACAAAAGGCATTTTGTAATAGCTCCCTTTGAAATCAAATTAGTAATGTTTCAAGGCGTGACCCGTAAAGGGCTGCTGTCCAGAATCTACATGTGTTTGACAGATACATCTTCCACCTAACGGGCCTCTTCAAGTGTACAGATGGAATCAAGATGTGTGAACAGAGCTCCAAAAGGAAAGCCATGGGATATCAGGATACACAGCAAAGCACTCTATCTCAACAGATAAAAAGGAAAGAATATCAGATACAATGTAGAATAGCTCACTCCAGCTGGTAGGACAGATTCTGACACTACTATATAGGTGAGATTATTGCAGAGGAAGATGACATTCCATATGTGCAAAAGCTAACAAAATATAGCCCATATTAAACTATATAACCTTGTGCCAACTCCTTATAAAGGTCATACAAAGTCACAATCTCCTTCTTCCATATGTCCATTCACTGCAAAATGCTAGAAGTTACTGAGGGCTGTAGCTCAGTATACCCAGGTACATAACCTGATGGGCAGGAGACTAGAGTCTCTAGAAAACAGCTTATTTTTACCCGTCCAGCTACAAAATTAATGGAAAAGTTGGAAAAGAAGAGGAGCTTTCAAGTTTGCCACAATGTATTTGCTTATCTTCCAGAAAACTAACCAGTCCATTTTCCTGCAGGGTCAATCTCATTGGAGCAAGAGCATGAAGATGACAATCCCTGTCCACAGTATATGAAAATAAGAAAGCATTTGGTGGTTGGCCTTTCTAAATATCCAAAGGTCACATTTGATTGTATATAGAATTAATTTAAAGCACAGCAACTTCCTAATGCAGTCCAGGCCTCAGCTCCATAACTCATTTTCACATGAATTCACAGACAAGAAAAAAAAATCATGCTAGTATATCAAAAACCCCCATAGCAGCCAAATAAAATGAAACACCTGCTGTCAGAACTCCATCAGCTACTTCTTGTTGCCAGTGTCTCCTGTCTGAGAAGAGGACACAACAGAGACTAGCTATGTGCATTTTGCAAGATGAAACAGTCCAGGGCAAGGCCGTAAGAAGACATAGGCTGTGCATTCTTTATTATGTGTCAGGACCAGCCACTTCTGAAAAAAACCCCAATACTTTAGGCTAGGACAATGAGCCAAGGCTAAAACACCATGGAGAAAAATGTCTGTGAGTGACAACAGCAGACTTCACTGATGGTAGAACTCAACTTAGACCAGACTCCCAATGGCTCATTTCTTTAACAACCTTCAAGTTTTGCCTCTGCTAACAATAGGAATTGCAACCATTTCAGGAAAGAAAACCAATTTGTACTTTCTCACAAAAAGGACAGTGGAGCATGCCATACTCTCACACAGTTTGCACATAAGGTTATAGCCAGGATTTGTTTATATTCTTGCATATCAATATTTTCAGCTGCATTTGATTATTTAAAATACCATAAATCACTGACTAGCACTCACAATTTTCACATTATTTTTCCAGGAAATTACTTTAGAGACCAGGGAACTGTCACAATGATCACAGAACTATAGGCGAGTGCCATCCTTATAAACCTGACATGCCTGCAAGACATGCACAATATGAGACTCAAATCCTGATATGAAGTGCCAACTCAAACAAGGTGGGAATTCATCTCACTCTCCATGTTCAAGCAGATCTCCCTGCTTGGACTGCAAAGGTGGTCAATTTTCATGTTGACTTTGATCATTAACAGATGTCCCTCAGAACAGGAGTGAGAAAACCAAACTTGTCCCACTAGAATTTGATGGTGAATGATTTTGCATATGAATCCCAGTGTGGCCATAGCTCTCTCTCTTGGATTATAAATCTACTTAAACCTTTAATTAAGGAGTTAGTAACTGAATGGTCATAGGATCATTTACATTACTGCATCTGTATCAACAGCAGAGTAACATCCTCCTATTGTTTCTGAAGCAGTAAGTATTCATGTTCTCCATGTGGCCTGTAAATAAACTTGGTCCTGGAAATTGAGCTATTGTTGTAGTCAGTTAAGAAAAAGTTTTAAAAAAATAATGCATTAAAACACAGACTGAAGCCCAAAAGCAATTATCAATCTGCCCTGTCACTCAGGTTGGGGAACGTGAGCCAATGCTTACACTCTGAGTTCCCCCTAGCGTGGTACCTTTTCCTTTTCAGTCCATCATGACATATTTACAGCTTTGTCTCTCAGCAGTCCCTACCAAGACTCCAGGGATCCACACTGGCCCATCATGAATGTTATTTTTCTTGTGCTACTACTGCTAAGAGCCAACAGAAGATATTCAGCAAGGAATTAAGAGTCTGTGTTAATGAGATTTCTGTCATCTCCACGTATCCTGGATTAGGTTAAACATATTCTTTCTCCCCTTCCCCATTTCAACACTGCTTCCAAATGGATATGCTATAGAAGTAAATTTGCATTAGCTATATCTGCACTAGACAATTGAATGAGCCTGGGACAGTTCTTTGGGATTACAGTTACTGGTTGCAAATATTTCTTATTCATATTATTTAACCCATATAGCCTCCAAAACTAGATAGTCAGGTACCTGTTCAGAATGGATCCTGGGTTGAATTTAATCCCTGAATTGTGCTTGTAAATTATTTGGGAGAAATCTGGTTGGTCCAGGTCTAAAGTCTGCCAGGAACTCTTCTAACACTTAAACTGTAGACAATGCAGTGCTTGGGAATGCTTCCTCACAAGTTTTTTTTTAATAGTATAGATATTGCTGTAGATAACAGAAAAAGAAACTTAAAGCCATGCAGAATCCAATGACTAGTGCTCTGGTTTTGCTTTCTTTTGTTTTCATTTAAACTCCTGCCTTCCACCTATTATCATATTCTATTGGCTACAAAATTATTCAATTTTCCTACGAACTCCTCAATTAGCTGTAAATATATTATCAAATAATGCATTATATTAGACACTGGAAACATTATGTGTACATAAATCACACCCAGAAATTATACAACCCTCTCAGACCAGAAGGGGCCTAACTGTCTTCCAGACCTCCATGGAGAAAGAGACCGAGTCTCTCTTAAGAGGGTGCACAAACTGTATTGTTCAGCAGATCTAAAACAAACAGTCTAATATCAGAGAGCAAGCAAGCATTTATAGGTCTCTACCCTAGGACAGAGCTCCCCATCTCTTGTCTGACTGTGACGGATCCCACACTAAGGTCACTGGTTTCTGGGTTATTCAAGCATTCAGCGTTGATGTAGAGTCGATCTGTTCCCACTCAGTTATGCAGCTAGGACACATTACCCCTCAGTTTCACCATACATTCTCAAACAGATATGCAGACACAAGGGCAGTGGTTCCAAATCCTTACAGAATAGAAAAGATCTTCTCTGCTCAGAGACAGAAATCCCTATATCTCCCTGGCATCATTACTCGGTAGCAATAACTCCAAGGTGTTGAGACCACATTTAGCTTTACGGAATAAAACATAACAAGCTGTCAAAATGTGCATAAATAAATTAGAGTCATTATTCCAGCTTAAGGTTCTGGGGACATAAACAATCCTCTTGAAGTTCACTGTGACATTTTTTGCAGCAGGAGCCAAGCATTAAAATTACGTTCTGTATACAGAGAGCTGTAAATGCATTCTGTCTTAGGGCCTGGCACTGTGGCACAGAAATCAACAGGCCTGCCTTGGAATAGAAAATACAGCAATTCAGGGCCAAGTCCCTGCCCCGAGCACAAGTTTTATGGCACAGCCCATGTCCATATGGCTAAATTCTGTCCTTCTGCTCACTCCCCAAAGAGGAGTTCTCATCCATGTCTGCCCGCTTGGAATAGTCCCTGGCTCACACTGCTGCCCTAACCCATATCCAGGCACCACTGCAGAGAGTGCTGCTGGCGTGAGCAGAACCACGCAGTGGAGTGTGCCAACAGTAAAACCACAGGTCACCACATGCCACTGCTCCTGGTTACTGACACAAGTCTGGGACTTCTGCTAGGATATTACCCTAAAACATGCTCACCTTTTCACAAGTCATGTTCAGTTGTATAATAGAACATGCAGAAAGTGAGATCCAAAAAAGATACAAAGACTGAAGACATGCATACATTTTGTGATATTTAGGATATAAAGGAGCTGTACCAGGTGAGACTGCATATCCATCACACCTCCATCACTAAGCAATTACACAAACTTAGGAAAAAGTGTGATATCAGGGTAAGCGTGCAGTGATACCTTCTCAGTACACTCTCCTGCAGCACTTTTGACTCAGAGACTTCCCGAACCAGTAGTCGTCTCTTGGTATTTAATAGCCTTCTGAGGATTCTTCTCAAAGAAAATGAACTCTGGATTTAAATGCTGCATAATTAAAAAGTCAGTGAGAATAGGCAGCAGCAATTTGAATTATAAACAAGGAACAAACCCATTCATTCAGAAAACACATTTTACATCAAAAGACCATCAAAACATGGATGAACGAGAATAGTGTTATTACAAGACAGCATCAAGTTGAAAGCTACAATCTCTGAGAGCAAAATGGCACTGACATCCTCACAGAAGG